TCTTTATTTACCTTTATTCTTCCCACTTTTATAATCTCCCATCTTCACAAACACATTTGGTTTTCAAACAGATTTAAATCCAAGACATTACTTCTAACCTACACAGCTACCAAGTGAAGACTCCCAAAGTCATTCTGAACAGAGGAATAATTACATCATTGAACCATGAACCTCTTTAGACCAGCACTAGTTTATTGAAAGTGGATTCCCAGTTACTGTCCTAGATTTTTGCAGTGAGGAGTTGGGAGAAACTAAAGTTTAAAATCTAACCGCTTGCTTAAGTTTACAATCTACAAACTATCTACAAATTGCCCACATTAAGAGTGCTTTTATCATGAGTCAGTGGTGACATTGCCAGAATGCTGAAATACAGTAGAACCCAGTTATATCATGGCCTCTTACGGGTGCCCTATTGGGTTTGGCTTTCTGCACATTACAAATGGCCTACTTCTGGGTTGTCAGATCTCCATTGATGTCAATTCCTGTGCATCTCATACGCATGATATGTGCAGAAAACCTGGGATAGATTCCCAGTAGGAAGAAGTGTCGGCAGTGATCTGATGACTCAGAATTCAGCTATATTTTAGTGAAGGAAATATTGTAGGTTGAGGGAAATTACATCAGCAGTTGTTCTTTTTCAGGAAATGGTATTAGAGGCATTTCTCTCACATTGAGTACACATCCCGGTGGCCATTATAGCTTTGTACTCTATTATAATACAATGTTTGAACTTACAGAACCAAGACATCAACAAATTACATTTGTATAGTGCCTTTCAAGTCGAGAGGACGTCCCAAGGCATATTATAATGGGGTTCTTCTGTGTCCTGTACAATTTTGTTATGCAGTGGTGAGTTTAATCCAGCTGTACACAACAGGGTTAAAAAATGTTCTATTCTCTGCCTTGTTTTCGTAAATAGTGACCTTGACTCTCAAATAGAGATTCTTGCAGGTAACCAGGAACAGGTCACAACTATGGGAATTCGATAGCAACAGCAATTTACATATAGGTTTTAAAATGGCGGGTAAAATTAATCACGTCTTATGTATCTTGTTCCTCCTGTTGCTGGAGTTATATATGGTGTCAGCTTACTACCTTGGGCACTATTCCTCAGAATATTCAAACTTTTATCTTTTATTCAAATAGGTATCTGAGTAATCAATTCTATAGTGTTTACTCTAGTTCTTCTGTGTGTGAGGCAATCGCTCTGACTTAAACAAATTTATTTTATATATAAAGACTCATTATTATACCCTGATGGAAAGCAAAGCTGTTATATATCCACATTCATTCAGCCCTTTAATATCCACCCTTCTGGATCTTCCTACAAATTCCATTTTGTATATTAGATACTTGATTAAAAGAACATCTGTGCAGTAAACATCAATTTATTACTCAGTTACTACACTTAGCAACGTCAAGAACTCAGCCAACACATGGGTGGAAATGATAGAAAGGACAGTTTATTGTAGAAAACAATGTATGCATGTTATCACCCTTAACGTTCTATGGAAGTGAAATAAAGCTATTACAGACCTATTTGCGTTCAATAACTTCAGTTGTTCAAACCAGAGTGTGTCACGCTGGTGTTTCCATTATTAGAGTTACACAAATGTGGCTCACAAAAGCTGTCCTTCCTCTCTCCAAGACTGTAACCAAAATATGTTTCAAGACACAGTGAAGCATGCCTATTGACCCACATAAGTCGTATGTTAAAGTTGTCAGTGGCAAATTCTAAAGATAGTTTCTCCCAGTTTTGCCATGACCTTCTTTAAAAATGTGCAGTGTGTTCATCATTTATCTTTTGAAAATAAAATACTAACTGCTTGAACAAAGTTTATTTTTTGACCTCTTAAGTGGGTCCTAAACTTCTACCGAGCAAATGTCAACCTAGTCGGGGGAAAATCCAAGACCCACAGCGGAGGACACCACCAATGTTGAGTAAATGTATTTACTACAATAAAAAATTTGTGAGCAGTATTCAGATGTCGCGTGTATCAAATGTTTAGATTAACGGAAAAATACTGTTTAAGCTGTAGCCTTCTGAATTCAGATATGTGTACAATTTTATGCAATGTCATAATGACCAAAAACATATATAAAAAATCTTAATAGGGAAAAAAAGCTATAGTAATGTATCCAGAATTGCCGGCATCTGTGGCAAGCACTGAAAATGGTGTCCTGGGACACATAGATTTCAATTGAGAACGTTTGCCAGTAGCCCTGGACATCGGTATAAAAAGTTAAGAGGCCGTTAGTTAAATAAGGAGTGATGGGCTGTAACAGAACGTTTTCAGCTAAATGAACAGTCTTTTTCTATGTACTTCAGTGCAAATTCTGTCACAATGACATTGAATTTGCAAGTTCAGGTCATTCAGACATATTCATTCAGAAAATAACTTCACACCTATTGTTGAAGAATTGTTTTGCTCTACAAAATAAATTTACTATGAATTAATACTAATCAATTATCATCCAGAGTACATGTTTAGCAAATGAGGCTATGGTGAGATTACACCATCTCCTATGATTGTAGGAGAGACATTATATTTGTCAAACTGTATTTTAATCTTACTGAAAACAAATACAGCACCACTGAAGATTTGGCCAGACATGCATCTTAAATTTGATTGGGTTCTTCCTTCCTTTGTCAAAATTTCCACCGTTACAATCTGGATTCGGGAGATTGCAAATGCTTCTTTCTTTAGTATTCTGCAATCTACAATGCAGCCAGAAAGATAAGAATTTAAACAAGATTGTCCAATTTTTACTTTAGAAACATTTTGGTAGGACTTTACACAAAAGTACAATAAGATAGAAACAGTTTACAGGAAGAGTCGTTACAGCCGAGACACCGGACTCAATTAAGACACAGGTTGATGCTGCAATGGAAGACATGGATGAGTTGGCCTTCTTGAAGGATGAGACCAATTGAACTGAAGGGCCTTTTTTGAACCTCTCTTAGAAACTTGTGAAAAGAAAAGTGTGATTTAGTATAATTCCTGGGAGTGTTCTGATTTAAATGCTGTCTGTAAACGTTGCTTTTAATTCTTGAGGTTTCTTTCTACCCCTTCCAGTGTATATGCAAGGGAATGTAGTTCTGGCAATAAGGAGGTGAGAGGTTGGCAGAATAGGGGTGGGAAAAACTATTGCAGTTTGGTTTGCATGATACCAGCAAAGGAAACTAGAGGTTAATGACTGAGTACAAGTGAATATTTCATAAGATCCAGCTCTAGACCAGGGTTGTCCAACTGAATTCAACCCCCAACTCCCCTCCATTTCATCTGGCTCACCTGCTCCCTCCATAACCCGTAAAAGTTATGTTATGTTTCTCGGTGGAAAACACAAACATATTGCTTATGTGGCCTGCGGAAATTTCTCAAATAGGGCATCCAGCTAATTTGCTGGATTTAGCGAGAAATCTACAGGGTTGAACATAAATAATATAGTTCACATTCCATGGTCTGAGACATCTGAAGGCAGATTTGAAAATAAGGTTATCTTCACAGGACCATTCCATTGAATGTTGGTGAACTGCATCACACTGAATAAGAAGCAGATTAAGAGGCCGAATATCATTATTACTCTATTGAAATTGTTCTTAAATGCTGGCAATGGATTCTTCTAACTTACTTGAAACATAGGCATCAGTAGATTGTAACATATCTGTCCAAAATTCAGGTATCAATTTGAAATTCCAATACAATGAATTACATTTTTGTGATTTGATGGATTAGTGTGGTTAGTTTATCTGTTGCCTTTGCTATTTGCTGGTTATTTCAAAAGTGTATTTGGAATATTACACCATTTAAAAAAATCTTAACATATATCTTTACAAAACTTCTTGCAAGTCCAGGTCAAGTCTTCTTTCTAACCATGGAGTAAAATGTGAGTAATATTGGCCCTCAACTGACTTCAGTGTAAACGTAATTAATTCTAGTTTGGTGGCTTCAGTTCTTAAACTTGCTAATTTCCACTCAAATTAAAATAAAAATTTCTTGAAAAGTTTTATGATAGAATGAAAGCTAAAGCACTCAGACTGGAGTTTGGTGATTTTCTGAGCTACACTCAAATTAGTAGAGAAATGGTTAATTCTAGAGATGACTGTGCGCTGATTATACAGACGTTTCTCAACTGGACAAGTTGGGTTGACTTATGTCAGACTGACATCTTAATTCATGCCTCAAAAATATTTGTTGAGATTCTTTTAAAATATAACTGTGGCTATGTTAAATCAGCAATTGTGCTCATTCTTAGTACAGTGAGAAGTGCACAGAATGAGGAAGGAAAATGCCCAGACTGAAGACATGTAGTTTTGAAGATGGCATTGATTTGTTTATTAGGCTGTGGGTATGTACTAAAGCATCTGTTAAGATCTTTATTAGCAACTTCTGGAATTTGTGTCTCATTCTGCAAGGTTGTGGGATTTTTCAGTGTTGTTTGGGAGAGAGTTTGCTCTGCAATAGTTTGTGTAGCAATGGCAGGAATGGTTACTGCTGTATGTCTCAGGAAAGAGTGGGGGGAACCCTAATTGGGGTCTCAGGAAAGGGAGGACACTTTGATTAAGCTGCCTTTTTGAAACTCTCCTCTGTAAGGGTGCAGAAGACCTATGTATAAGTGCTCATGGATGCATTAACAAACTTTAACAAAAGTGCTAGGCACAGAACCAAAGGTAGATAACCTTACAGATGTTTGTATCAAGAACTGATCTTAGTAATAGACAGGTTTTGTGTTAAGACCTCATTGACTAGAGTTTAGATGCTCCATGCGATGTACTTAGTTTTAAAGATGAAGTTTGTGGAGCACATGCAGTCATGTAGGGGAATTTTAAACTCGTTTATCTTTGATGTGGCTTTTCAGATCAAATCATTTCCATTGAGAGTGAGGTGAATGTGAGTGAAATGAATACATTTACCAACTAAGGTGAAGGATTCCATTGTGCACTGAACATTGTGAAGTGATGCACAAGAAAGCCAATAATCTGGAAGTGAACCTGAATCTGCCGTTTGTCAAGATTTCCTAACAATTTCAAGTGCCTTTATTTGTAAGCCTGGAACTTATCATCTACAAGGATTTTTATTAAAGAATACATACCTGAATTTAAAAGTTTCAACAGCTCGGTCTCACATCACAAGAGAAGCTCACAAAGAAACCAATCCACATCACTAAAGGCAGTTTAAGGTACAAATTCTTTGCTGTTAATTAATAAACTGCTTTCTCTTGCCTTAATTACTATTTTACAAGCCATTTTATGTATGTCATAATCCATGTTGTTTTCCTCTTCTGGATGGAAAAAAAATACACTCAATAATTTCTTCACAATCTGGAGCACAAGAACCTGTCTTGTGTAAACTATCAAGAAACAAACAAAATATATTCATCTATGTAATTAAGGTGTCCACCACAGAGCTAGTATGATGTGCAAACGGTATCCCAACATTTGGTTCTAATAAGGGCGTACTTCAACCTTCCCAGTCCCACCACCTTTAGGAGTCAAAATGATGCTATAGTGCATGTTTGGAGCTAAGTATGCAACAGGAATCTTACCAACCTGTCACCGATAAAGTGGCTTCCTGTTGTGGGCAACACATTGAAAGAGAACTGAATATGCATATACTAGTAATGACTGCAATGATTACTAAAAGAGAGTCATGGGAACATAACAAGGTTTTGTGGTTATCTGAGATGCATATATGAAGATTTACGGTATTTAATTCATTACGTCTGTATAATATCACCTTATAAAATTCTAACATCTTTAACTGTTACCTGAAACGTATACAACCAAAGCCAGTTAATTGAAAATCTCCACTTTTAGCTCGTCTAATCAGTCAATGTCAAGAAATCAGTCCATATTAATTTAAAAACACTAGCAAAACAATAGTGCCATAGAAAATGTCTCCAAAACGAATTTACTCACTATCTCCATCTTCATCAACTGGTGTCAACTGTATGGCTCATATTGAAAATATACACATCTTGGCAATTGCAGGCAATGTTGAACAGATTGGGTACATGAATTCTGATAACACTTATGATTTTATCTGATTGATGGTTGAGTTAACATCACATTGTAAGCACGTTTGTTGCATATTTAGCCCGAGAACAACTGGCATTGAAACTGAAGTGAGCTTGCTTCCTCAGTATCGGGATTATATGCATCTCTAATGCTCAGCCAATTCTCTAATACTTGTCCCACGGGGATGGAAGTGACTTGATCATTGAAGTTTGCAGATTTACTAAGGAAAGCTACTGACTAGCAGGTCAAATCATTTCTCTTTTGTCTATTCAGGGTGATCCAGAAGTAGGTATTGCAATTTGTGGACTGCGGGCTTGAGCTGGTTTCTTTTATCTGTTTAAAAGCAACAATTCCACACCTGTAGGCCAGTACTGGTGCACTGTCTTTCTCAGTTTTCAGCACTGTTCAGACACAATGAAACCCTCTTTCTCCTGCCCAACAGGTTCCACTTCGGCATAAGCAGGGTGACCAGAACCACGTCGGAACTTCATCGCAGGCCATCGACTGGGGCGGCGCTAGGTACAAACAAAGGAACCATCAGAAAATAATAATAATAAACCTTGCATTTGGTATAGCGCTTTGTCACGGTCTTCGAGACGTCTCAAAGCACATCACAGAATATGCCATAAAGTGAATGGACTATATATTTTGTGGGCGAAACGCGAAAATACATGATTGCGTCAATTCCAAACTGAGTGCTTAAAGTTGGACAAGGACAAGTAAGCTAAAAGGTCGACTACTAATAATAAAGTAGGAAGTAAATTATTTTTGAAATAGATTCTGTGACAGTTGGTTATTTCCTGAATCGTAAAATGTTTTAATGTAAACCTGAGATTTTAGGCCTGGTCCTAGAGGATATTTTTTACAGAGCTACGCGCTCTGCCAGTTAGACAATCTTTTTAAACCAGCTCGCTCTGCTGCTGAAAAACAACAACAAAAATAACATAATAACACAATAACGTAAGAATTGCCAGACGAAAGATGACCAAGTCCATCCATTTCGCCTTCCACCATCCTGGCAGTCGCGTGACATGTTGTGTCCCAAATTGCATATAGCACCTTTCACGTCGGGAGGATGTCCGAAGGAGCTGGACAGTTGAAGGTTTGCACTCGAGCTGGAGGTTGGAGTTGAGAGGGTTGGGAACCAATGGGGGTGAAAGTGGGAAGATGACTGATCAAAGGTCAAAAGCAAGGGGCACAGTCAAAGAGTAAGGTCTTGAAGGAGGTGAGGGAAGGGGCGAGAGCGAAGGGGCTCTGGGATGGAGTTCCAGAGAGTGGTGGCAAAAAGGCTGAAGGCCCAACCATCGATGGTGGGGCGGGAAAGTCAGGGGATGTGCAGCAAGCCAGCTTCTACTGAGTGGAGGGAACAGGCAGGTTGGTAAGGTTTTATAAGGTCACCGAGTAGAATGGGGTAAAGGTGAGGACGAGGATCTTGCACTTGATCCTCTGGGGATTGGGGAGCAGGGGTGATAGGGGTGATCGGCTCATGGAGCCTGGTGTGGGAGGAAACATGAGCTGCATGCAGAACTCTGAATAATCTGCACCTTGTGGAGGGAAGAGTTAGGAAGCCTAGCGAGCAGGGAGTTAGCATAATCAAGCCTGTACGTGATAAAAACATTGATGAGGATCTTGGCAGCCTGAGGGCAGAGGTAGTGCCCGCGGAGGTGTGAGAAAGTTGATACAAGGATACAACAGAATACAGAAAAACAGAATACAAACAGAAAGTCAAACTTACAAGCACTTTGGTAGAATACGAACATACCTCGGTTTATGATAGAAACATGATATTTGTTCACACAAAATTCCTACAATAGTTCTCTGATGATTTTACTTTTAGGAAAATGCAATGGTTACTTCGTCAAAGCACCAGAGCCCAAATTTTCACCTACGCTTGACCTGCAAAATCACTTTCTCTTAAAACTTTAGATCAGGCAGAACTGTGAAAAATTCTTTAGTTCTGTTTGGATTTGGAAGCAGGTCTTTTTCAAGAACTGTGGCAAATGAATTCCACATTCTGTTGAGAGCTGCTTCACAAGGCATCAACTTAATTTAACTGTTCATCTCACTGTTTGTGTGATACTGTTGATGCAGATTAGCAGCTGTGCTTCCCCACACAGCACCATTCTCTATTAAAGTCATCTTTATTGTTTGTATACTCTATATGCATGCATGCATGCATGTATGCATGTATGTATGTATGTATGCATGTATGCATGTATGCATGTATGTGTGCAAGTACATTTGTGCGTGTATGTCCAGATACTCTTGATTTTATTTTGATTTTTTTTTTAATTGAGCCTTTAATTTAGATCCTATCTTCCTTGTGATGTATAAGTTGTTGATTATGGAAGAATATAGGGATAGGTCTGCAGGAAGGTGGAATGCAAACTAGATGGACCTTGGCCTTTCTTTTGTCTTGGGTTTCTTATGTGCTATAGGTGCAGACTGAGATTAAGAAGACAGAATGGTTTTGTGGCACCAGGCTGAAAGTGGATGGGGAGGGTGGGTGCAACAGTGCAGATGTGGAAGTAATCTTCTGTAGCTTTTTCTCTATTAACTGCTGTTACCAGCCATATGTTGTTAATACAGCAAATCATCTACATGCAGCTTCTGCCTTCAAGGGTGATTATGGGCTTGGTTCCTATCCTGCTGTGGTTGTCATTTATCAGCGTTGCAAAAGGTCAGACAGAGAGAAATATGGCTGAAAAATGCAATGTTTCATAACAAAATCAATGTGTTTGATTATCACATTGATGGGGAGAAATTCCATTTGGGTCTAGATTTACTTTCTTTTTGCATCATTTCAGATCATTCAGGTATTGGATTAATTTCTCAGATGCAGGCTAAATTTTTTTTATATAAGTTCCTTTAAAGAACCTCAGAGAAATGGCTTCAAAGTTATAACTGAATTCAACAATTTGCCAAATTCTACATGTCATAAATGCTACGTGAGTCAAGTAAATCTAGACCCAGGAAAATAATCTTTTAAGAAACAATAGAATTTCTTATCGACTGGTCTTGACCACAAAACATATTCACTGCACTTTACAGTACATCCTGTCAAGCTCTTTGTGACGTCCTCCCAATGTGAAAGGCACTGTACCAAACGTAAAGATTATTTAGTGACGGGGTCAAAAAACAACTAAGGCTCTCGCACTTGCCATCTTTGTCCCCTGTCATTGTTTCCAATCATCCTGAAGAATGGCATTCCACTGCTGCTTCTTGGAATATCTCACTTATTTGAGTACTTTCAGGCCGAACATTTGCATCAACCCTGACCAAAATTCTGCTGTTTTTTGACAGAATCGATATGACACACTGGATCTGTTATGAAACAGTGCATTTTTCACCCCATAGAAGTTACAACACAGGAACAAGTCGTTCAGTCTGTCAAGCCTAAAGTGGTGCTAGCTCTCTCACTGGTGCTGACTGGTGTAATCCCAATTTCCTGCTTGGGCCCCATACTCTTTTATGTTGTTACTCTTTGAATGCCTAACCAATTACCTTGCAAAGGTTGTTATGATTTTAGCTTCAATAGCACTTTGACACAGCATATAATGCTCTAATAACCTTCTATTGGTGGGGGGGTGGGGTGCAAACAGGACCTCTAATCTCATTTTAACCTTCCAGCGACAATTTTGATCTTATGTTCCCTTGTTACCAGCTGGCAGAAATGATCTATTACTTTGAATCCTCTCAAATCGTTCAAGAATATTGAAGACATTCTGTGAGATCCGCTCTTCACTGACTCTGTTCTAGTAAAAACACGTGCAATTTACTAGAATCCTTGATATTATCCATACACATAAGCTTTCCACTGAAAAATGGATTCTGTATTCAAGTCAAGGGCCATTAACATCATTAATGTTCACTGTATTGTGATTAAATCTCCATACACGTATGAAACATAACTGGCCAGTATTGTGCTTCTCCTAATATGCCTTATTACAATGATATTATTCTGGCAGGTTGCCAACTCTACCCAAGGTTCTATCTTTCTACCTTTCAAGTCAAAGCATGAATCTTATAATAATGAGAAGCTTTGCATTTCATATAGCACTTTATCACGTCTTCGAGACGTCTCAAAGCGCTTCACAGAATATACTGTAAAGTGAATTGACTATATATTTTGTGGGCAATTCATGGCAGCCAATTGCACACAGCAGTGTCCCACATACAGTCGTGGATTGAGTAACCACATTGTTTTAAAGGAATTATTACCCCCGGAAATGCGATCCGCCATTTGACTAACAACCATGTTCCTACTTACTGCTAGGTAAACAGAGGAGTGTGGAGTAAGGAAACTTGCCCAACGTTTCGCCCTGCTGGAAGTTGAACCCAGTTCTCTCTCTTACGAGGCGAGTGTTTTAACCACTGAGCTACATGACTTCACGTCCAAGGTAGGGAGGAGCAATGCCATCAAGTTCTGTCGAGGTGCTTCACATTCAATATAGCTACAGATTCCCAGGACCAAGCTCTAGTGAAAACAGAGCACAGAGCAGAGGTCTCCATATAGATATTTGGACACAAACACAGAGCTCTTCTAACCTCAATCAGGATACTGGGTGATATTCAGAATGTTTACAGAGAGTCTGTTGGCTTTTTCGTAACATGAATAAAATGGATCACTTGTCTTGGATTTTAAGAAGTTTGGTTTGCCCATTATCCCAGGGTTGCAGTAATACTGCAGAAGATATGAAGAAAGTACGATGCAAGCACCAAACTGCTAAAACACACAAGTGCAGTATTGTTGTTCTTACTGAGGGTAGGTATTCTTCCCATTCAGTTCCTGTTAACCCAAGAAAGCAAAACCCTAATGGGGAGGGTAGTCCTAGCTGGACAGACAGTGGGAAGCTTGCAAGATAGTGCTTTCAATGGCTAACTGATTTTTTGCTGGTTAAACTCCAGCAGTACTGCAATGCACACTCTAGGGTCCCCAAACCTTGGCTCTTGCCAACCTGATCTAATACTTTCTAGAATTAGGTAAGCAGGATGCATCCATCTGGGGAGAGAATGTACGTTCCATTCCAAACATGAGAATTTCCATGTGTAGGTTGAATGCATGGAATTCTATTTGGTTTGGAAAATCTTAAGCATGGTGCTGGGTTTCTGCATTTGATAGGCACCTAGCTGACAAAATAAATATTACTTTCCTTGTAATGGAATAATTTCCCCTTGGTGACAGAAACTCATCATTTGATATTACTGGGTGTATTCACGTATTAAAGTAGAGCAGCCACAATAAATCAATGATTTAACAGCATAAAACAAAATGTATTCAATTCCTGAGGAAAACCTTTGGAATTCACTGATGATGACTATTAGAACTTGAGAAATTTATGAAGCCATTTCTTGTGTTGGAAATTGAACTGGATGTTTGACTTGTCTCTGTTGTACAGAAGTTATAATTTGCTCCCCATTCATTTTCATAGTTAACTCCTGAGATAAAGTTGATTTATTTTACTGCATATGTCGAGGCGAGATAGCAGCTTCCAATGGTGATGGGAAAAGTCAAATGCATCATTCAGATCTCTGCAGAATCATTTCTCAACCGTTTAGTGGTTATCAGTTTTATCATCTCAGTTTTCCATCTGCTTTCCTTGAAATAAATTTAATGGATCAATTAAAGTGAGCAGATGCTTATCTTTCTAAAACTGCACCAGATCTACTTGCAAACTGCTCAAGGAGACGCTGTTCACCTAACAATGTTCGCTTCCAGTTCTGAGAATTTGCAGAAGCCCTTTCAGGCGTAGGTTTATAATAATGATGCATCAACCACTGTAACAATGAGCCTGAAAGCACTTATGTTAACTCCATCTTTGCCAAGCTTCAGGCTGTCAGTACGAACAGCTTATCCATTTAAAGTTCCTCACCTTATCTTCAAATCCGTTAACAATCTTGTCCCTCTCTATCCTCAAGCCCTATTCTCTTTGGTGTGCCCTCTGCTCTTCCAACTCCGTTCTGCTGCTTGTTTCTCACTTCCTCTGTTTTACTATCAGTGGCCGAGACATAAGCCACTATGCCGCACTCTTTCGAACTCTTTCCCAGATCTCCTTGCCTTTCACTTTCCTTGCATTCAAAAAACTTCAAAACGTCATATCTATTTGACCGTGCCTTTAGTCAACACTCTCAAACTCCCTCTTCTTTCCTCATGTTTCAATGATCCTCATTATCTTTGCCAAGCACTTTAAGACATTCATCCTATGTGAAAGGTACTGTACACAAATCAAATAAATAATAAACAAAGTCAATCATTGAAATGGATATAGCACTTATAATGTTTTGGTTTTAATATCATCATTTCCATAATAGTATTACTGAAACCCCCATGTCCCCTTCCACCCCACCCAGATCATCCACACCACCTTCTCCCTCCGCCACGGCTCCTGCCACTTGACCCTCCTTACACTTCTTTGCCCCCATTCCTCCTTCCTCCCTCCCAACCACAATCACTCAGATGAAGTTCACCACCTGCTACTCAACCCCCTCCCCATCCAGCTGCTGGTCACTCAACTCCCCTTCTCTCGCCCTTGATGGCCGACACAATCAATCAGTCTCTCTCCTCAGGCTCTGAAAACCGTTGTTACCACACCTCTCCTCAAAAAACCCACCCTCCATCCTTCTTATCTCTCACATTACCTTCCCATCTCCAACCTACGCTCCCTTTCCAAAGCCCTGGAATGCATTGTTGTCAACTTCAGTCACACCTCTCCCTCCACTCCCTCCTCGAGCCCCTGCAGTCTGCTTTTCGCTCTCCCCACAGCACAAAGACAGTGTTTGTCAAAGTCACAAACGACATTCTCTCTATCTGGGACCAGGGCTCCCTCTGCCTCCTCGTCCTCCTGGATCTCTCTGCTGTGTTCGACACAGTCGACCATGCCATCCTCCTCCATTGGCTCTCCTTCCTCATCTACCTTAGTGGGACCACACTCGCATGGTTCGAGTCCTGCTTAACCAACCGCCTCTATTTCATCTCAGCAAATGGTTTCTCCTCCCGTCCCCGCCTGGTCACCTGCAGGGTACCCCGAGGCTTCATCCTTGGTCCTCTTCTTTTTCTTATCTGTATGCTCCCTCTGGGTGATGTCATCCCCAGAAGAAAACTTCCACATGTATGTGAATGACACACAAATCTAATTTGCCTCCTCCAGTACCGCCGATGTTCTATCAGCTTGTCTGGCAGACATCAAGGGCTGGATGAGTGTAAATTTCCTGCAGCTGAATGTGGACAAGATGGAAGCCATATTCCTTGGGCTCCCGTCAGCATCTTCACTCCTGCAGATCTAAACTCCTCAACTTCCCTGGGCTCTCTCTCAGACTCACCACACCAGTACGCAACCTTGGCGTTTGATTCGACCCCCAGCTGTCCATCCTCCTCCACATCTGGTCCCTGACCAGGGCCGCTTTCTTCTACCTCTGCCACATTGCCCACTTCCGACTGTACCTTACCCCAAATGCAGCCGAAACCCTCGCGCATGTGTTTGTCACCTCCTGCTTGGGTTACTCCAGCGCACCCCTCACCGGTCTCCCCAGCTCCACTATTCACAAGATCCAGCTCAATCAAAACTCTGCCGCCCGCATACTAACCCGGACCAAATTTCATACCCACATCTCACCAGTTGTGGCCAACCTCCACTGGCTCCCCATCACCGAACGGATCGACTTCAAGATCCTCACTCTCGTGTTCAAATCCATTCACTCCCTGGCACCTCCCTACCTCTCCGACCTCCTAACTTCCAAATCCACCACCCGGCACCTCTGCTCGACTGGCACCAGCCTCCTGCTCGTTCCTTGCACCATCCGCTCCACAATCGAAGGTCACACTTTCAGCCACTATGCCCCAAAACTCTGGAACACTCTCCCTCAATCCCTCTGCCTTGCCCCACCTCTCCCCTCTTTCAAGTCCCACCTGAAAACTTTCCTCTTCGACCGTGCTTATGGCCACCTCCCCCCTTGCCCCAGCTCGGAGTCAGGCTCCGCCACTGTTAAGTGCTCCGAGACACTACCCTATGTGGAGGGCACTATGTAAGTGCAAGTTGCCGTTATTGTTGTTGAAACAAGTTAGAAACAGAGATATGCAGGGACATAAAAGATCATTTCAGTCCATTTGGCTGGTAAATAATGTAAAATAAAATGTTCTCACTTTCTGTGTAAACCCATTAAATCTGACCTGTCTGTTCCCCTCTCTCTTCCAAGCCTGAGTCCATGTCCCCTAGATGTTATGCTGATGCAAAACATATTAAGGTAACCAACAACCCAGCATTTGTTTGACAGGGAGGGTCACCAACTGCATGACTTGGCAGCAGGTTCAAAACAGCTTTAATAATGCCAAGAGAAATGTGTGGAATTCTCATTCTGGCTTGGATACGCTTCAGCATGATGATTGGTTTCTGCATGTGTTGGACTCAAAAAAAAAGAAAGAACTGTTGTATTCAACAATCAGCCAGGACAAGCTTGGCTTGCATCCTCAACTTGTGGATTCACTGCTTGAAATGGACATAGACTTTATTAAAGAGCAATATTTAATGACTGGAATGGCATTGTTCCCCTTAAAATAGATTCCTCTAGAGGCGAGAAAGTCATCATGCTGCGAAGTATAGTGGTTAAGTGCACTAGTTCCATGCCCCGATAAAACACATCATCAATGTTGCTAGAATTAGTGGCATTCTTTACCCTTAGTGTTTCCAACCAGCATTGCGGATGGTTCCACTGTGTTATACCTCAATAAGGAAGAGACTGGCTGCAGATGTCGGATGATGGTACATATAAAACGTCACAAGTAAGCCTGCTGCAATCACGATGACCACCAGGAGAATCCCCACAATCAAGCCGGTATGGACACCCTTCTTCTCTGCAGTGCTGTCAGATGTAGAAGCTGCAAGAACAGGAGGGGAAAATGTGACACTTCAATAATTCCAATTGTAATGTATGGGCATAAAATTAACACACATCTGCTGATATTTTACTGGCTTCAAGTATTAAACCTAAAACATTAGTGCAATTAATAGTGAGGCCTGTTCGATGCACAATGTCCCCTGTGTGTTTGCTTGTGTATTGCTCCGTGTATGTCTGCTGTAGCAACAGATATTTAAGTTGATGAAAATATTCCTGTGAATATGATAGTGTTGTTGACGGACATCAGCAATTTTATCCCAACTCTTCATCATTACACCTATTATACCAGCTGTCAGATGGTCTTAGTAATGCAAGAATCACATAAGAGAGCACTGAATCACTCAGCAAACACATCTGTTTCATCGAAAAGTCAATTTTCATTGGGTTTACTGCCCTGACTCTTAGTAAAGGACACACCAAAAGCATCGTCTGCAGTGGTGAGGTTCAACGGTTTCTTCCTTTCAATCTCCAGCTATGAATCGCTCTGCCATCAGCTAATCCACCATATACAGGTGTCAAAATCAGGCTACTGATACCCAAGTAATGCCAGGGAGATAGATTCTCCTTTTAAAATAATTTTTTTTACTGGTTAAGTGTTGGTGGAATTTCGGAACTATAATAATAATAATCCTTGAATTTGATATAGCGCCTTATCACGTCTTCGAGATGTCTCAAAGTGTTCCCAGAATATACTATAAAGTGAATTGACTGTATATTTGTAGGCAAATCGTGGGAGCCAATTGTGCACAGTTGTGTCTCACAAACAGTCATGACAGTGATTGAACAAATTATTTTTTTTTTTGAAGGGATTATTACCTCCAGAAAAGCAATCCGCCAATCGACTACCAACCGGATTCCTACTTACTGCTAGGTAAACAGAGGCGTGTGGAGCAAGGAAACTTGTCCAATGTTTCGCCTTGTCGGGAATCAAACCCATGTCCTATGATACAGGACTCCACTATGATGTCCAATGAGAGTTGATGTGTAATAATTATAATTTATCAACTAAACAAGGCTCTTAATCCCAGCAACAGGTGGTTGTAATCCAGATGTGCAAATTCATGGGGCAGAAAATACAAAAGGTGCATGCTGTGTGCAATTGTCTGCCGTGTTTCGCCTACAAAATATACAGTCAATTCACTTTACAGTATATTCTGTGAAGGACTTGGAGATGTCTCGAAGATGTGATAAGGCACTATATCAAATCAAGGGATTATTGTCATTATTTTACTGATTCAGAAATACCCTTCTTCATCATCCCTTGGGGAGAGATCTATACTTGAAAATGGCAATGTGCTTCCCCTTTCCCTCACTTCACATACCATGAGGCAGGCCTGGAAAGATATAACAAGCTGTTTAAACACCACATCCACCAACTGCAGGAGTTGGCAGAAGGATCAAAAAGTTTTAACAATGCCAAGAGACAAACAAGGAAAATATTTTATTCATTGTCGCGCCAGGAGAAGCACCCAGGAGGTTCATAGCAACCAAAAGTGCTTAGGGAGTTGGAAAATGCTGAGGTCAAACTTCTTGTGCACCATTTGGCTGCCGTTTTCACCCTCAAAAAATACAAAGTGAACCCACTGTACAGGAATTCTGGTGAAGCTCTTTAAGACATATGGACGACGTGCTAAGGCATTATATCAAATGCAAGGATTATTATAATACAGTAATGTCCTCTGTCATTGAATCCAATGAGGGGCTCCTTTTTATGTGATATTGTCTACCTCAACTAATGCATACCTTAAACTACAGTAACTTTAATTAATAATAAAATAACAATTCATAAATTTGGTATAACATCTTTCACATTAGGAATATATCTGAAAGCACTTCACAGGATTACTATAAAGTGTGGGTGCTGTGTATTTTGTGGGCAAACACAGCAGCCAATTTGCATAGAGCAATGAAGTCTTACAATGAACAGGCTTTCGAATAGTCTTAAGATAAGTAACCAATTTTATTGGGGTATTGATGGCCAGGACATTGGGAAGGTTTCCCTTCTCTTTTTGAATAGTGCCATGGGATTTTTAATATTCACTTGAGCAGGCAGACTGGACTTCAGTTTACTGTTTACACAGCACTTCCAACAATACAGCAGTCCCCCAAAACTGCATTAGGGTATCAGCTTAGACTATGTGAGTTTAAAGTTCTGCCATGTGGCTTGAATCCACAACCTTCGGAGGTAAGATTGCTACCAGTTGATCAAGGCTGATACCTCTAATATTTGGAGTACATATATGCTATTGGTTTGCTCTCTGTATAATACATGAAACACTCCTCTGGAAAAGGTAACATATGGCTGCCTGATCATCAAAAATAGCCTTGATGATAGAAAAAGTGTTTTCTGCATCACTAGTGAGCAAGATAAAGATCAATCTAAGCCTATGGGGAAAGCGGTGGATACAAGTGATCATACTCTTAAAACCTAGCTGATGCCTGCTGTTCTAAATCCACACAGGCAATCCAATAGAAGGAAAATATAATGAGGCACAGTGGGACAATTATATAGAGGATTTTTAGGATACAGATAATGTGCTTTAAATGACATAACTACAATGTGGTGGTATTTATAAGCTAATGCAATTTTATATTACATCCTACAAATCACACTCTCATCCTTTGAGATGAAGGGGAATTTCTGAGTAGATTTAGAGTATTGCTCTTTGAAATTTAAGTGCTGATCTATATGTACTAGTGGTGGTTGCAGCAGACTTTCTAAAACAAAAAGTTAGGGCTAAAGAGCATTTTTCTTAAGCCTCTTATTCATATTCTTTGAACTTTAGCAGCACCTGCTTTCTCTCTCGATTCCATTATTCTATATTTAATAAGCCTTACATTTGATACAGCACCTTTTCGCTTTGTAGGATTTATTGTGAAGTGTAGTGGCATTGTAAAGGGCTCCGAGATCTTATCCTAGGTGAAGGGTGCTTATATGAATGCAAGTTGTTGTTTTAGTGATTATATATTTTGTAGGCAAATGTCCTCATGAGGAAATATACATGTTTATATATACAGTTTGTGTCAACATGTTCAAATCTAACTCTTAATTGAACATGTTTTGTAAACCCCTAAATCTTAGGCAAGTTTCCTTACTCCACATGCCTGATTATCTAGCAGTAAGTAGGAACCCAGTTCTTAGTCGATTAGCAGATCACTTTCTGGGGATAGTAATACCTTCAAGAAAACCAAAAAACCAATTATTTGGTCACTCAACGCACAACTGTTTATGGGACATTTCTGTGCGCAATTGTCTGCTGCGTTTCACCCACAAAGTACAGTCAATTCACTTTACAGTGTATTCAGTGAAGCGCTTTGAGACATCAATGACGTGATAAGGCGCTATATAAAATGCAAAGATTATTGTTATTATTATATAAACCTGTCACTAGGGTCTGGATCATGATGAGCTTTCCTTGGATATTGGGAGGAATGAGCTGTTGATATTGGAGGATGGAATAGCCAGGGCTGGTGTTTCCACAATGATGGCCAAGTACAGAATCAGCAGCCATCCAGCCCAGGAAAACCTCTGAAATGTGCCAGATTTAACAGGATACATCTGCTGTCTTTTCAATCCTTGGCATAAGTCAGAGTAATGACATTATTCACTGAAGCCAACTTGGAGCTATGCCTGTACATGCCTCAGTTCAGACCAAATGGTTCCTCATCTGATCGGGCAATAGCCCTGCGGGTGCTTAGGTCCCATCTGTAGATGATCTATTGGGAAGTGTCGACTGGAAGGCTTCCTGAAAGAAACCCACCAAACCATATCTTGTCAAACTACGACTTCTACAATATTCAGGAAATGAATGAAGAGAGCCACAAATTGTCTATGACAAGGATAATAATTGTGGTGCTCTTCCGGAAATCTAGTGCCTTTGTGGGTAAAGTCAGGCAAGGGAATTCCGCTATTGATATGCCTGTTAGCTTCAGGAGGCTGGAACATCCCTTAGTTTTAGCTTTTGTCTAAAAACAAATTTTGTAACATTTTGGAAACTCTTGGTGGACTTGCCTCTCTTGGAGTTTTAATGCAGCAATTTCTGTGGCTCTGTGTGGAGGGAGATTTTATTTGCTTCTTTTTTGCTTAATATTGCTTTCCTGGGGTTCATTTGACTTGGTAATCCAGGCCAGAAAAGTGTTAGATATTATCTCTGAAACTTGGGCCAAGCCCAGCTAATAATAATAATAATGCTTGCATTTGTTACAGTGCTTTTCACGTCTTCTAGAGGTCTCAAAGCGCTTCACAGGATACACTGTAAAATGAATTGACTGTACATTTGTGGGCGAAACGCGGCAATTGCGCACAGCAGTGTCCCACAAACAGTCGTAGATTGAAGTGACCAATTTATGATTGTTTTTTTCTTGAAGGATTGTTATTGGGCGTGTGGAGTAATGAAACTTGCTCGAGGTTTTGCCCTTGCTAATTGCTAAAAGTAATTTTTTTTGCCAAGGAGAATGTGGCCTTAGCCCCTCCTAGAGTAAATTTACAAGTTAAACCCCATCATATAGATGTTAGCCATATCTTTAAGGACAATGGATGAACATTTGTGTAAAGGATGCCACAACCTTTCCCTGTTTTGAAGTAAAGGTGGGTAAAATTAATGGTATACATTAAAATGTCACTTATTTTAGATTTAAGGAAAATAATGGTATTAAGGTGGATGGTGAAAGGGTGATACATTAGGATTAAAAGGTCTGTCGAAATCTAATAAACAGGTAGAACAGACTTGATAGGCTGAATGACCTCACCACGAATACCAGCAGATGTCACTGCTGCGCAGGTAAGTAGTTGGTTCCTCCCAAGATCCAAGTGAACCAATTTTTTGACACCAAGATAAGAGCAAATAAACTTTGTGAAATATGGGATGTCCGTTGGTCTCTAGTTATTTTTTTGGTTATTATTGCTTTTGTGGAGTTGATCTGCCAAAGAAAAACATCAGCACCTTGGGACATCCTCCCAACT